TGAATTAATGGAATGACTACAGGAATGAGCAATATTTAGATATTTGGAGAAAACACGTGTCGTTGCAGAACGATTACTTGTTTGGCCAATTAAACGTACATGTATATATATTACATGAATTTCAACTGTGTGGCACTATCTTTACAGAACTATGAATTAAACGTTCAAAATAATAATGATGTATTCCATGAATTTAAAATGTTTGGTAGTGTCTTACAAAACTAGGAATTATGTTCAAAATAATACTGATGAATCCTATGGAATTAAAGTGTTTGGTACTATCTTACAAAACTCTGAATTAAATGTTCAAAACAATACTGATGTATTCTATGAATTTAACTCGCGATTCACTTGAAAATAAAACTCCAGATAAAACCAATGACGATCTTGTAAAATGAATGAAAGATTTGGAAAGTCTCAGCTCTATATTTCCAGACCATTCTGCATTTTCTTAACATTTTCGTATTTATTGAGAGAGAGAGAGAGAGAGAGAGAGAGAGAGAGGGAGGGGGGGCGTCTGGCAGGGCGTCTTTAGTGGTGGGAGTACCCGGAGAGCGCATGATAACAATATCATAAATCACGTGTTCTAGTAATAACAATACTCAGCACCATGCACAAAACCCTAACATAATTACTCCGGGTCTAACATACAGAATATCTCTATCAATTATTGACTTAAAGCGCGTGATCATTGGAAGTTTGGAAGTTGGGAAGTTGGTGGGGGTGGAGGGGTGCTACTAGGCGTGTGCTTGGATTTCTAGCAGCCTATACTCCACCCATAAACATTTTAAAATTAAATTCAAGAAGACATCAGTTTCAATACTGTGAGAAATATGCTCCAGAACTGTCATGATTCGTGTAAATTTTTATGCTTACTAATAATGCACATATATCTAGGGCAGATTTCAATTTGTATATCTAAATTTATGTGAATGTCGCCTAAAAAGAAGTAACCTTTACTCAACAATTAGTATTGTTCGCGTTAATTTATTCCTCATTTTAATAAACATGCCATAGTGAGATAGAATGTATAATAAAAATGACAGTTTGACTTTCAAGACAAGTTAAGTATGGAAACGTACTAAAAAAAATAACAAGGTATTTATTAAATAAGAACCTTTCGTCTACAAATTACATAAATATAGCTTCAGCTTCTGGGATCCAGGTCCATACTATTCCATTTAGCTTTATGTTGTATAAGTGGTGTGCACAAGGCAGGTGTAGACTCTTTCTAAAACACCTGATACGACTTCTTATTTATTTGACAAATTCACATAACTAACAAGTATTTTCTGTGAATTGGGTATTTACACTTCAAACGTGTTGAAAAAATAATTCATTCGTTTAATAGCTTTACGTTGTCAGACAAACTCTTAAACGCAATAGAGACTATTAATTAGTTCAAGAATAACTTAATTGACAACTTGCAAACCGCATCTTTCATCACCCATGATTCGGGCGTATTAAGATTTCCGGTTGGCTTGTGATTGTCTATTAAATGATCAACTTGAAAGAGATGATCGTTCATCTACTTGTATTAAGTAGTTGTTAATACGACAGATACTAATGATACTCAAGTAAAATTTCAGACCAACATCTGTGATAGTCATTGTAGAGATGGGGAAAATATTAACTATAATTCTAGTCTTTTAACAAGGTCAACGTCGACATTTTCGACTAGGATTTGGTTTCTTATATACAGTAAGACTTTGGCAAGCGAAACAATTAAAACACCAAGAAATCTGAAAGACCGTTATACACGTATTTATTTCTATGATTCTAGAAAATCGCTAAATATTGACTTCCCATTCACTATTCGAAATAGTGTATCGGCATACTTCGTATTTTTATTCAGTGCCATGCGGGCGTCTGGCTCAGTTCCCCACCCTCAATATTTGGGCGACCGAAAATTCGTGCATGGCGGTTACATATATTCGAACAATCAATCATTGCACAATCAATTTCATTTAACCCCAGTCTGTGCAGAAAATTAGGACATTACACCCCGTTTCATTTCATTTCCACTTAACACATTTAAAACATTTGTTTTCAAATTCAAACAAATGTCTTTAAATCTAATGTTCGAATCCCAACAATTTAAAATATCGATTCTGAACCAAAAAGTAGAGCTTTTCCATTTAACACATTTCGAAGATTTGTTTTCAAATTCAAACAATGCCGAATCCCAACAATTTATTTTGAACCAAAACGTAGAACTAGTAAAATTTTCAAATCCTTTGTTACTGTAACCATATGTTTGGGTACTTATAACTATTGATGTTTGTTTGTTGATTTCCAGTACAATTTCTGTACTTGAGGGGGTCACAGTGGCTACGTGGGCAAGACGCTGGCTCACTAGCCTGGAGGTCGGGTGTTCGATCCCTAAATTGACCGAGAAAGTTCATCTAGGTTCCCCCTTGTCAGTGATGCAGGACAGAGGGCCTGACAAGGACAGCTGTCTAGTCGTTCGAATGGGACGAAAAACCGAGGTCTCGTGTACACATTGGCGTGCACGTAAAAGATCCCTTGACAGTTGGAATTCGATATAAGAGTAGGCCGTAGTGCCGCTGTCCGGGCAAAATTTCCCTCATAGCATACTGTATGGTGTATGCCCGTCTTCATTAGTCCAGTTCGGAGTAGAACAGTAGGACGTTAAACCACATTTCATTTCATTTCTTCAATAGTACTAAGAATTTCACTAATATTATCAATATTCATATCCTTCGAAAATATTTAATAGTTCTGTATACCTATGGTATTATTGATACAACATATCATACCTTTCTGTCTTCACCAAATTGTTACTGTCAGAGATAGAATCAAACATTTTCTTTCAAACGCAACCTATATTCATTCTTAGACGCAAGTCCAAGAATAACCCCCGTTACTTAATTAAAAACCGTAAACTCGACATAACTTTTTGGCACTCTTAGATACAAGGGGAGATTTACACATAGTTATAACTCTTATAGTCATACCCCCAAACAAAGATCGCTCTCACCTTATATCGCTATTTTGGTCACCGTATACTGTTTCTTGATAAGAAAAGTAGAAATGTGTTACATTTAGTTGGAATTTTCTTACAAGGGGGTCCATTATAACATTTTGAATATTTTAAGTTGTATGTTTGATCTGGGTTCAGTCAGTGAAAGCGTCCCGGGCTTCCTGTCAGTTTGTGATTCAATCTTGCTTCTATTGAATAAAACATGATAACAAAATAATATAATTTAACATTAGTCACAGCCATGGCGTGATATCTTCTAAAATGATATTACAATAGAAGGGCGTTAATGGGAATCTGTAAACAAATACTCGCCAATTCATTATATATTAATATAAAAAATACCTGAATAAATCAGACATGATTTGAGAAATCAACAAGTGAAAAATATTTTTGATTCATCCAAAAGGGATTTTCCTAATATAATAGTTACAACCTTGGTTTATTCTAACCAGGATGTCCCGGGTTCGATCCAGCGCCTGGGAAATGTCGTCGGGATATTCCAGCCTAAAATTGCCAGTGATGGAGAGGACGGGGCACCTGGTAGGTTAAACCGTGGCAACCCTGCCGGGGCTAAATGTTCCTCATAGTACTCATAGTACATAATATGGCGTACTACAATCGTCAGTTGCCCGTATGGTGCAGAAAAGTAAGACATTAAACCCCATTTAATTTTATTTAGTTATTTTACATATGCCAGTCAGAAAAAAACGCCTTATTAAGTGTAATTCAATAACGTGTACTCTGTAATTGCATTTGAAAACATTTTGGATGTCTTATTTAATATTATTGGCTGCCTAAAGCATGGTACCTAGGCAATGCAAAGCTGAAAGCTAAAACTGGCCTTTAAAAGGCCATAATCACTCCCATCAAGACATGAATGTAAATTTAATTTTGAATAATATCATATTCATAGTACCCTAAGACTAAAACATTTGTACAACTCATAAATCAAAAGTTACAAAGTGTATATCTCTGCTATGACATGGCAGATTTGTCCCAAAATTTGCATTCATTCTATGGTGATTTTTACGTTCAAAAGTGTTATGGTACTCATCAAACTATACAGAATCTTCATTGTCGAATGTTTTCTAAAATCCTGAATATATTAACTGTATATCACAGTAGAATATACTCGCTAAACTTTTACGTAAAACGCCCAAAATGTTTTTTTTTTTTATTATTTAAAAAAATGAGAAAGATAATATACAGAGTAGACGATAATATACTTTAAAATTAACAAACATACGTTTTGCTTACCACATTGTTTTCCTATTGTATGTATATTATTTACATGTTTTAACTTAGCTTGTAACAAAACCTATCGTATCATTATCGAATATTTGGTAAGAAAAGCTGAAAGAATGACGAGCCTTCACAGATGTGAACCTCAACTCATCGTCTGACTGACAATCCTGTGACAAGCAGGGTTAATATATGGCTACCTGTCAACTCCCAGCACTGATAACATCTATTTCTCAGTAATTAGAGTCTGCTTCTTTAACACCAAAAATCTTTAAAATGAACAACTTTAGTTCATTGCCATTTCACTCAGCCTCTAAAAGTAATTTCAGCTTTTCCTGAACCAAATTGTTTTTTTGAGAAGAAAAAAACTGTTTACAATACGTCAATTATAGAGTCTTAGATTGTTTCGACTTTGCAGGGTTTTCATAACAAAAAAAGACGTATAATAGTATACATAAGTGTACTTTATAGAACGGTTCATGTTCTTTAGTCCCGTAGCAATATTTACAGAAGAATCATAATTGGTCTGTATCCAATTCCTTCAAGATTCTCGATCTTTGAATTTTATTGTTCTCGAATGGATTCCGCTAAGGTGGTTGCATTTTTGCCTTCTTTTTCAACACATATGTTAATGTGTATATAAATCTAAAATATGAATGTCGTAGTCCTCGTTTGTACAAATGTAGCATTTGCTTTATTAAAAAAATGTTTTCTTCTGTTCTGTAATAATTATTTTTCTCTTTCTATCTTTCAGTTGCTGGAAATACCTTATCTATCGTCGATTCCAAAAGAAACCGAACAGCCTATACCCGTCATCAAGTCTTAGAATTAGAAAAAGAATTCCATTTCAACCGTTACTTGACCAGGAGAAGGCGGATAGAGATTGCACACACGTTATGTCTGTCAGAACGACAAATTAAAATTTGGTTTCAAAATCGGAGAATGAAATGGAAAAAAGAACATAAATTACCCAACACGAAGTCGAGAATGTTAGAAACTGGGTTAGAAGGCGGTGATATGTCGCCCACTGATTTGACAGTTATTTAAATAGACAACAACAGAAAGCAATATATATTCAATTATCTGTTTTGCCGATGATGGCAGATTGCAGGGATATGAAATGCCTCGGAGAGTCGGGTTATTTCTGCATTACTGAGAATTCATAGGCAAACAATTCGTGTTAAATTCAGTTAATTTGCTATTATTGGAGATATTTACAAGTGATTGTATAATATGAAGTCTTTGTGGAAATTCAGCAGTGTAGGAGTGGGTTGGAAATTGTGCGTGAACCTTTGGGGAGTCGTGTGTGAACTATTAAGTGAAAATTGATTGACAATAAAGTGACCTCTTTTATTAATTTGTATATTTATCAATCATTACTGTGGCGATTAGTAAATTAGCCTTGTTTCATATCATACATCACATACTAAAATCGTTTTATAGTCAACTAGTATTCAATGGGTGTCACTGTCACTAATTTAAATTAATCCCTGAAAAGGTGAGGTGTGAGAATAATAAATTGTCCTGCTATAGCTGTATTGTATTAACAGTAAAGTGCCCTGCTATAGCTGTCTCTACATGCAAATAAATAATTTAAGACTTGTCATACCTGTCCTCTTGAGTATATCGCGAATCAAAACTTAAATCACAGAAAAAATAGGCATACTGCATATTATTGTTATGTAATTATACAATGTATGTGTATGGCATAGTGACTTGCCAATGAAATAACCATTGATTGGAGACGATATCTAATATATGTTATGGAGCGCAATAGATGACATAATCTTCAAGAACAGGCGGTTGTTATTAATGTTTGGAACACACTCGCCAGCAACATCACAGAGAAAGGCGATGTCGATTAATATTAATTAGGGTTATAGAAATGGTAATTAATTATAAAGTTCTGTCCAAAACGCTGTGTAATAAAGAGGCATAATAAGTCTTATAGTAAGACTTACTAGTATTCGCTAAGTTATCTTTCTCCGGTATAGAATATTTATCAATATTGTGGTCTATATGTGTATTCATTTATATTATACCAAAGTCATGAAATATGTTAATATTTGATAATATATTGACGTAATATTATTTCGGTGCTCGTTTTAAGTTAACTTTTATGTAAATTTTTGTGTCCCGTTTTATTTTCTATTTATAAATTGTTTAATGAATGGTTTTGTAAATAAATAACTATATGTATATATAATGAGTATTGAAAATAAAAGATTAAGTATTCTTGTGTATTTATAAATGAAATGAAATGAAATGGGGTTTAACGTCCTACTGTTCTGCTCCTATACTGGGCTAATGAAGACGGGCATACGCCATACAGTGTGCTGTGAGGGAAATTTTGCCCGGGCAGCGGCACTATCGCCTACTCTTATATCGAATTCCAACTGCCAAGGGATCTTTTACGTGCATTCCAATGTTTACACGGGACCTCGGTTTTTCGTCTCATCCGAAGGACTAGACAGCTGTCCTTGTCAGGCCCTCCGTCCTGCATCACTGACAAGGGGAAACCACGTCGGAAAATCGGCATGAACTTTCTCGGCCAATGCAGGGATCGAACACCCGACCACCAGGCTAGCGTGCTTGTGTATTTATAAATGGGCGTTATGATCTTTGCTGGGGGGAGTGTGAGGTAGTGAGATAGTGCTATGGTTATTTGATAAATATCTAGCCTGTAGCTTCCGAACGTTCAGCAATAAAATATATTATAGTTTTAAAACTCCTATATGAATTGTTTATATCATTGATGTTAGAATTTCAGTTGATTTGTCCAATCTGTGATATTTTACGCACAGATTATTTATGCCCCGTTATACCTTTGAAGAATCCTAGAACCTAAAACTATTGCCCGACACTGAAATTAGTATACCTGATAATAATTATGCCCATGGATAAACTGGAAGAAACCTGTCGTGCTTGTGAATGCCCTGTAGACTAAGGTTCTGGTAATTAATTTGAATACGCCCGCATTGAAATGTTGTCGTATATTGGCGTCACCCCCTGTCTGGCCGTCTGGCGTCCACAATTTGTGGACAATCTAGATTCTAAAGTTATCATCTGTTTCAGCTTATGTGATTTCAGACAATTACTGCTAGTGTTATGGCCCTTAAACAGATATACTTTACCTGTTACCTGTATAATGTTTTGTATAATAAATGTTAGCATCTTGAAGAACTAGAAGCCAATTAAAATTTGATTATTTCTTATAATTACTTAATGGCTTGTTACTCCTGGTCAGTTTAAGTTGTCTTTTAAATGTTCCAATTACCTACAAAACAATATATTATGCGGCAATCATTTTGGCTTCTCGATTGCACAGACAACCTATCTTTTACATTTTGAACTTCCCCTGGGTCACTTCATGGATATGAATCACATTTCGTAGATATGTTGCTTTGGTGATGAGTATTCAAATTTGTTCAAATAAAATTGATTGATCCCATAATGGTGGGTCCTGGGCATATGGCAGTAGCAAATTTAGACATACGCCAACAGTATAGTGTTGTTATATACTACGGCCACCCCTGTCCGCCCATCCCCCCTATCAAAAACACTCTACAGATTACAAAAATAATACCAAAGTGAAATTGATACGTATTGTCTATAAACGAAGAAGTCTATATATAAAAAATAAAGCGATTTCCGATAATCACTTCTATTATATATCGTTATTGCCCTTGTGCACTTTGTAGAATCATATGCTTGAAATTCAAATGCATTGTTCGGATTTGTGGGCCGAAGAAGCTTTTGGCGGGTTCTTCCTCGAGTATGCTCTAGTGACAAAAGCTGAACTGTTGGAAATTAACATTCCTTTTCAGATACCCGAGACACTGAATCCCACTGCGATACGTGAGACACTGAATCACACTGCGACCACCTTTATGGGCGTAGGCTTAATTGTCTGGCAACATTTTAGTAAGTTCACCATATTCCACCTAAGGTGTGCTTATTCGACCCATTAGGGCGGGTGTTGCCTATTTTGAGTAAACAAATTTAAACTTTTTCGGCTTTGGTAGATGTGGTGATTATTTAGATTAGTTTAGTCCCACCCGAACTGTTTGGGGCACATTTTATGTATGTTACACTGGTAGAGTCTGGTTTGTCTAAATATGGGCGGGAGGGTAAGCACTTTAAAGGAGAAAAGTTAGAAGTTTATTATTTGGTAACCTTATAAGTACCTATGTTATTGTGTGTAAAATGCCTTTACAGACCTATACTGAAATGCCTCTCAAATAACAAAATCGCAACAACATTTATCACCAGATCTGTTTGAAATTAAGGGGCGCTGTGGGGTGAAGAAGAGAATTTAGAGACTAGCAATTAAAGTTGTTATTGCTCCTGCTTACATTGTAGAATATGAACTCAGTTATTACTCCATTTTGCTTGACATATCAAAAGAGTCAGTCGAATTTCAAACATTTGCGAAGATCATTGATAGATTTATTGCCCTTGTTCACTTTGTGGATTCTTCAGAAAGTTTTAACATCCGGTTGGCATGCATAACAATTATAGCAAACATAAGCCCATAGAATTTCAGCAATTACAGCTAATTATTTCTATAGTTATTGCCTTTGCTCACTTCATAGAATCCTGGAAAACGTGTATGCATTGTGCAAATTCGCGTTTCCAAAATTTCCATTAATTTGTTTCAAAGAAAAGTAAATGAATGCCATCACACCACGGTAACCGCACGGGGCCATTTTCCGTGTGCGGAACTATAATTTGAATTATTTATGGCTGTCATGTGACCATTGTAAGAGTGAGTGAAATCAAGGTGAGGACCTTCACGTTAGCAAAATTTATTCAGCCACTTTACTATGTCTAATATTCATTTATCACAAATAGAACTGTAATACTAAAGCGCCTACTCTGTGTAGCTCTATGATATCCCAAGTAAACACACCCTATAACCGGACAACGACGGACGAGGCGAGGGAAAATACAAACAAATCTAATGCGTGAAGCATACATTATAACCATTAAGAGAGAGAGAGAGAGAAATGAGGTTTAACGTCCACTCGACACAAACTAGGTCATTTCGGGACTAACATATGGTTTAATTTTATTTCAATAATTCGCTTGCGCATAGTGGTCTTTAGCAGTGAGAGGAAACCGGAGGACCCGGAGAAAACCCACGAGGTTGAACAGGCGACCCTACTCCTTGTCACGTACAACCGGGGATTCGAAACCACACCATCCAACCCCCCTATAACCTTTAACGTGTTGCAATGTGTTGTATGTTTGAATATTTGACTTAAATCTAATTTATATAACATAAACAGTTTATTAGTTGTTACAAGTATAGTGGTAATATTTAGCTTATATTTCGTTCCTGGGTAGGTCAACATGCGTGTAATCATAGTCTCACGCCCTTGTGTCAATGGGCTGACAGCGACTTTCAACACATTTTATCAGATAAAACCCGAACTGTAAAATTCGAAATACTGATCCCAGCGCTTTCAATATTCTCCACTTCGGGGCCTTGTTCTGGTGTTTGCTGCAAATCACCAGAAAAAAAGTATCTCTTTCAACACTTTTCTACATGTCGTGACTACTTCCTTTCATCCACGTGACATAATAAGGTCAAAGTTCGGCGGGTTAGAATATGTCAGAATTGACTCTGGCGGACGGAAACTTTCACGAATCTGTGAATCAACGTGTCTCGGAGTTAATTTAATTATAAGATGAAGATATCATTAAAATTGGTGATGATTGAAATGTTTCGGTTTTTGCAGTTTGTGTCTGTATTTATGTAGTCCTGTTGAATTGCAGATCTAAACATGTTACTTTTGACAATTTAATTAAAATTACATTTTGTTTCGTTTTTCTGGTCTTACACTACATGATTACAATTTCGTTTCGTTTCTAGTTGGGTTTTTTAGTTAGTTTTTATTTCATTATTTTTACATACATTATATTGTACAACATCAAAAGGAATATGAAATAATATCAACGCCAGATACATTGTATACATCAAAAAGAAAATGAAACGATATCGACGCCTGATACAGGCCCACTAAATAGTAACCAATCCTGTCTCAGGTTACATATAAATGTAGCCTACTCTAACAGTCACTACGTTTTTATAATGTGCCTGCTATTTGACAAGACAACCGCGGTGACTCATTGGGTAAGGTGCTGGCTCACTAACCAGGAAGTCCGATGTTTTATCCCGTCGTTGGTCGAGAAAGTTCCCTGGGATTGTCTAGTGTGGTTTTCCAGTCAGTGGTGCTGGCACGAACAGTGTCTAGTCGTTCGCATGGTGCGAAAAAAACACGGAATTCGATATAAGAGTAGGCTGTAGCGTAGCTGTTCGGTCAGAATTTCCCTCATAGCACAATGCATGGCATTAACCCAGTCGCCTAGGAAAAGTAGAACGTTAAACACCATTTTATTTCATTTCCTGTTACTGGCATGGGTTAACTAGAAGCATAACGAGAGGCAGAGTCGATGGAGTAGTATAATGGGCAGAGCCGGTGGTACAATGTGTTTTGCTTTTTTTAAACTAAAAATATGTCGCTATATTACTATAGTTCTTAACGAGAAGTGAGCCAAGGTGACTCGGTGAGGTAGGCACTTGCTCACTTACCAGAATGCCCCGATTTCAACCACGGTGTTGGCCTTAAAAGGGAACACGTCTAGTCGCTCAGCTGCAAAAAAAAACGAAATCCTGCACATTTAAGACCCTGAGACAGTTGGAAACCGAATTAAGAGAAGTACGAGGCCTAAGTTTTCCAGCTTACCATACGCGTATGCTCATTTTCTTTAAATTTGTTAGTGCAGAAAACTAAGACCTCGTTTCATTTTATTTTTATATAGCAATAAAAATTCATAAGTCAATAAATACAAAATGATAGATCCGCGTTTTACTGCTGAAATGTGTCAATAACTAACAACAACTCCTAACCATTGGTTATATTTGCAGATGGAGTGTGCGATAGACGGTAGCGCCATTTTGTGTCGTGTTGTATCCAGATTGCCAGTTTAAGGCATCCAGAACACTTGTTCACTTTCATCAAAAATTTTGTATATTATATCCACAGTTGTTCAATCATGTAAATATTGATAAATATAGGTTGTAACCTTCCAATATTGGCGACCCATTTGTTACGGATCAACATTATC